CTGGTGTTTTCTCATTTTTTTTCTCTTATGGCCTCTGTTATTTCCATCATTGTGATTTTTTCCTCTAACATAGTCTTAAATGTTTCTGGAATTTTTGGAAGATTATTTTCTTCTAGATATTGGATTGCTCTCTCTCTTAGAGTTTCTTCTATATCATACAGTTTCTTGTAATATTCCTTAATTCTCTTTTTTATTTCTTCATTTTTAAATTGTAGACAGCCTTTTTCATCTACTAAATTATATATCATTTTCTTCTCCTGTTTTTTAAGTTTATAAGCTAACCGTCTTCCTGGTTTATTTGCATTTTCAAAAAAAATGTTTTGCTCTTTTTATCTGCTGTGCCAATTTTTCTGAATCCAACAGATTTAGTTTGTGTTTTATTGTTTCCATTTCTCTTTTCAAAGTCTTTTTCTGTTTTTTTGTAGTTCTGATTCTAACTTTCCACATTTTTCTTTTAGTAGTACATATTGCTCTCTTTTAGTAGTACATATTGCCATGTATACCTCTAAAATATGCTTTGGCTGTGTCCCATACATTTTGTAATGTTATATCTTCTTTTTTGTTTTCTCTAAAGAAAAACTCCATTTCTTTTTTTGCTAATTCTATAAATTCTCTTTCTTTTAATATAGATTGATTCAAAGTTCATCTTGGTCTTTTTTGTATTCCTCTCTATTTCACTTTTAAAGGGTTATAGTCTGCCCATGTACCTAGTTCTATCTCAATTTCCTGTATATTCATCCTCAATTTAGATGTCATCCAAATCATATCAATTCTTGACCAGGATTTTTGACTATTTGAATAAAAAGTATATTGTAGTTTTTCTGGATTAATTTCTCTCCAAACATCTTGTATTCCAATTTCTTCTATCATATTAAAAATGTCTTAATCTTCTTCTTCCAGTTTTCCCTGTTTTACTACTGTTATAGTCAATTGTCCCATCTACTATCGCATTAAAGTCTCCTACTAAACAAATATTTTGATACTCCATTTCTATTATTTTTCTATGGAGGCTTTGGTAAAATTCTTCCTGGTTATTATTTGGTTCATAGATTACTACTAGCAATGTTTGTTTTTGATGTAAATATATTTCTACCCTCACAATTCTTTCTTCTTCATCTGAGTAAACCATTTTAGAATCTATTGTCTCTTTAATATATACAGCAACACCTCTTTTTTTCTGATGCGCTGATGCATAATAAAGTTTCCCAATTTTGGGGTGTTCCAACAGTTTGTGATGTTATTTTTTAATATGTGTTCCTGCAAACAAATTATATATATATATATATAATTTCTGTAGTTTCCTGAAAATTTTGTTTCTTTTTTATGGGGAATTTAGTCCATTTATATTCACTGAAAAAATTCCATTTTCTTTCTCCATTTCCGTTATTTATATTTAGGTCTAGTCCAAGGGTAGGCAACCTTGGCTCTTTTATGACTCGTGGACTTCAACTCCCAGAATTCCTGAGCCACCATGGCTCAGCTTGGAAACTCTCCCTTTCCCCTCAGCATGGCTGGCTCAGGAATTCTGGGAGTTGAAGTCCATGAGTCATAAAAGAGCCAAGGTTGCCTACCCCTGGTCTAGTCGATCTCATGGTCTCCTGTTCTCTGGCAGTTCCTTCACTCTCTTGTTCAGATTTCTCTTTCTGTTCTTTTGTTTGTGTAGTTATTTTTTCAATTGTCTCTTCCATTTGTTTCTGTTCTTTTCTCTCCTCTTGCCGATGTTGCCCTCCTTCATCTAAGACTGCTGTTTCTTACATCAAAGTCTTCTGCTTTCCAGATTGAATCCAGTCAATATCTTGTATTATTCCAGTTGATTAAAATCCCTTCTGACATTAACCATCTAAAATGTATGCCTTTTGCAATCAGCTTTGTAGTTAAAAAATGATAATTTCTTTGAGTATCTCTTACTCTCTTGGGTATCTGCTTTAAGATCACTATTTTCTTTATTTTTATATTGTAATGGCTCATCTCTCACTTTTCTCAATACTTCATCTCTTGTTGTTTTCTTTATGAATCTCATGTGTACTTCTCTAGGAAGTTTATATTTCCTTGTGTAACTTGAATTTGTTTGAAATATTTCATCTATCTCCATTTGCATCTCTGCTCTGTCTGCTTTCAAAACCTCTGCCAGAAGCTTAATTATCACAACTGCTATATTTTCTTCTCTATCTTCAGGGATATTTTGAAATCTCAAATAGTGTTCCGTCTTCTCCATTTCTAGGATCGCCAGCGCGCCTTCTAGATTTTGGTTTGCTTGTTCTAATTTTTCATTTTCTTGCAATATCCTCTGATTTATTTTCATTTTCTGAATTCTTTGTTCACTTTTAGCAATCATTTGATGGTGAACTTCAAATTGTGCCTTTATATCCAAAATTTCTTTGCTTAATTTATCAAAATTGTTTTTTGTCTCTTCATTATTTTTTTGCATTGACTCTTGATTGAATTGCATTGAATCAATGCATTTCATTTTGGGCAGTGCTTATTTTCTCATGCTGCAACATTGTTTCAATAGATCCCAGGGTTGTTGGGCTAGGTGTTCCAACAAAGGGTGCAGAGGAAGTCTTCTTCATAAGTCTGGTGATGTTTGATGTACTCATTTTTCAGCCAACAGTCTTAGGGTAAAATCCAAAAGGAGCCAACTACTTTAGGCTAAATCCAGTATCACAAGGAAAAAGACAAAATAGAGCAGGCAAAAAGAAAAAAGAAAAAAGAAAATCAACTATCTTAGGCTAAAATCCAACCAAAAAGAATGAGCCAACTACTTTAGGCCAAATCCAATTCCTCCAGCCGGGTCTCAGATGTAAAGCGTTCACTATCTCCAAATAGTTCCTGTTTTAGTTATATCCAGAGTCAATAAATACAGTTATGAGAAGTCTTTTCCATTATAGACTCACACCATGGCACTTTGTTTACACCAGGTGTTGACTCAGGGTCAAATATTTTCAGATTCTTTTAGTATTTAATAATACTGTAATTTCTTCTTTCGCCACTAGAAGTCCTCATGCACTATTTTATCAATGTCTGATTTTTAAAAATTCTTACAAAGTTTTTCTTTTAAAGTTCTTTATAAATTATTTACCCTTGAGGTTATATCTAGAAATTTTTTCCACCTCTTGTAGATTAAGTAGTCCTTCTTTGAATCAATCTGAGTTCAATTTTTAGAAGTTTTTTATATTCCTTAAATATCTTCCCCTTTTGTAATTGCTTGCCACCTTTAGATCTTAATCCTTCTGGGGTCTTTACTTTTTAGTTCTTTCCAGTCAGGGGCTCAATGTTTTTAGTCCAAAAGGAAAAGGAAAAAGCACTGGCTCACCCAGTTTCAGCACGCTGTTGACAATCAGCTGTTTGGTAGAGCACCGCGGCTCCTCGCTTTCCTTCTGGCTGGCAACAAGCAGCCTTTCCTCTGTCCTTTCAGAGGGTTTATTCAGTCTGCTCAGACAGACCGCCGTCTGGTCCGGGCTCCTGAAGTATCCCTCCTTCTTCATTGCCCCTTCAGGGCAAATTTCCAACCCTTTAGGATCACCGGGCAAAGCAAAATCAGGCTGAGAAGCCAGAGCCCCGGCTTTTTCCACCCGTCTCATCGGCAGCCTTATTTTCTGATTTTTTCCAATTTCTTTTCTCTACTGCTGTCTTTGGGTACTGCCACATCCACTATCCAGACTCTTTTTTATTGACAGTTGCTAAGTTGGAATGTATGTGGTAGGTGCCTGTTTGTTTAAATAACAAAAATATAAATAACAAAAAAGTCAAGAAAACAATGGTCCACTAAAGAGAGAAGACGGCAAGGAAGTTATAGGCAGTAGAGAGAAAACAGAGATGCTTAATTCATTTTTTGCATCAGCACTTTAGCTGCTTCATTTTCTATTACGTTCTCTATTTTATGGTCCCATCCAGTTTTTTCTTGTTGATAAATGGTATTTCTTGCAGATCTTCCAATGCACTCTTGTTGCTACTTTGTTGTTTGTAGGCAATTTTGTACAATCTTCTTGCAGCAGCTAACCAAATGCTGTTTTTTCAGCTTCTTTGTAGAGGCATTATTTGCTGTCTGTTGTTGTCTCCCCAGTTCTGGCTTTGTGTGCATTTGTTCTTAAGACTTAGTTTTTTACAGCCCTTGGCAGGCCTGTTGTTATCCACATTGTCTGCAAATGTTGATATTTTGTGGTGTTAGAGATTTCCTCACAAGATGTAAGCTGTTTGAAGTAAAGTAAAGTAAGGTAAGGTAAGGTAAGATAAGGTAAGGTAAGGTAAGGTAAGGTAAGATAAGATAAGGTAAGGTAAGGTAAGGTAAGGTAAGGTAAGGTAAGGTAAAGTAAAGTAAAGTAAAGTAAAGTAAAGTAAAGTAAATTTGCTATTGATTGATGGCGAATTTGCCAATGCCAATGGTGTTTGAGTAGTGCTCCAGTTGTTTTGACTTTGTACCAAGGCACCTATTACTATTGGTACTATTTTTGCTTTCTTTTGCCACAGTTGTTCTATTTATATTTGCAGGTCTTTGTATTTTGTTATCTTCTCCCGTTCCTTTTCTTCTATTCTGTTGTCTCCAGCTGCTGCCACATTCACCACCCAGACTTTTTTGTCTTTCTTATTGAAAATTGTTAAATCTGGCATGTCATGTGGCAGATGCCTATCTGTTTGAATTCCAAAGTCCCAGAGCACGTTAGCATCTTCATTTTTATTACTCTATTTTATGGTTTCACCAGTTCTTGCTTTCAAACAAATGGTATTTTTTTTGCAAATCTTCCAATGCACCATTATTGCTACTCTGTCTTGCTACTGTTTGTAGTTAGTCTGTGCAATCTTCTAATAATAGTGGTTATCATTATTATTTAATGTAATCGCTATATTTCCCTAGATCTATGGTATTAATGAACACAACAGAGATGATAGGTTCTGATGGCCCATTAAAAATTGCTATTTGACAACCTTAATTCATTTCCAATAAAGCTATGTTCTAGCTGAACTATCATAAAATACACTATTGTCCTGATTTCACCTTTTAGAATCTGTGGAAGCAGAAGATATGCCCACTGAAGGTGGTGAAATAACAGCAGATCACTTGGTGAACTATGAGGTGGTGTTTTCAGCTGATCAAGATAAATCTGTCTCATGGGCTGCTAATAACATTTATGAAAGTTTGAGAGCAAAGAAAGTTGCTGAACTTAAGAAGTGGAAGGAACAGGTAAGACCCCTCTATTATCACACCACAATTTCAAGTAACCTCAGATCTGCACATTCTGTGGAGGAGGCATTTATTGTGGAACAGGTGGCAGTTGTGGCTAGGAGAGCTTTGCACAACTTCATGTTGTGCTCCAGTTGTGGTCTTTCCTGGGTCAGGACTCCTTGCACTCAGTCATTCTCTTGTGGAAAACGAAAGAACTCTTACGAATTCCAGAGGGGTTAGCAGAGAAGTTTATTTGCGCAAGGTCCAGAGCATATTAGAGATAGGCAATTCTGAACGAGGAGGGCGTGATTAGACTTCAGTTTTTTATACTCCCCTCCTTAAAGAACAAAGGGCTACACATTGAAATACACACTGTGATACATTCGGAACGTTTCTCACAGGCATAGAATGGAAGGTTTTGCTACATACAAAGTATCCATGTGCAGAGCGCATTTGGTTGCCACATATTACTGACAGAGAACTTTCCCAGTGAATTTTCCCAGTGATTATGCATTACATC